CGTGGCTGAAGTGGAGGAGCTAAGGGAGACCCCCGGGACGGTCCCACCCCCGGGCTGGCAGCCCCTGGGCTGTTGAGGAGGATGAAAGTCTCAGGGTAGGAGAACTTCAAGCAGGAGTGTGGGAAACGATCGCAGAATTGGGGCCCTCCCTCCAGATGACGTCACGGTGTCCTCTTGCCCTGAGGATACCCTGCAGCAGCGCACCAGTAAGGGCGGCATGGTGCGGGGAGGTCATCACAGCCTGAAATAGTTCCAAAGGGGGGCTCCCAGCAAAAAAAGTTTGAGACTCCTGGATCTAGACAGACTTGCGTGCAGTGCTGGGGAGGAGCTGGTGGTCATGGTACGTGTCAGTACCGATGACACAGGGAAAGGTAGGAGAGAGGTCCTGGAGGTCAAATTTGGGTTGCTAGGTGAGAGACTACAGTCCAGGGTCTCCATAGCAACATTGTCTGACATGCTTCCAGTTCCATGCACAGGGACGGTAAGGCAGGCAGAACCGCAGGGTCTCAATGTGTGGATGAGACGACGTAGGGAGGAGGGATTTAGATTTATTAGCAACCAGGGAACCTTTTGAGAAAGGAGGAGCATATACAGAAGGATGGGCTCCACCTAAGCCAGAACAGAACCAGATTGCCAGCATGTAAAACTAAAAAGGTCGTAGAGCAGTTTTTAAACTAAGGGCTGGGGGAAAGCCAATAAGTGTGGAGGAGCACGTGGTTCGGACAAAGACATCCCTTGGGGGGGGAGGAGACGTCCGTCTGTGGGTGAGCTGAGGGCCCTGACTGCCACTCCCTTCCCATCCCAGATAAGCTGTGGTACTGCCGCCTGTCCCCCAACCACAAGGTGCTGCACTACGGAGATGTGGAGCAGGGGGTGCAGAGCCCCCCCATCGAGAGCCTGCCGGAGAAGAGTACGTGACAGCCAAGAGGGGGATCGTCCCTCAGAGGGGATGCGATCGCGGGGTGCCAAGTAACAAATGGGGGAACGTTCTCTCTCTAACACGGAGCAGGGGACGCTTGGTGACTTGGGAAAGTCCAAACCGATGCTCTTCCCACAGGGGGCGGTTAGCCTGGGGAACTCATGGCCACAGGAAGCTGCTGAGGCCAAGAATGTAGCAAGATTCCCAGAGAGAGCGACTATGGAGCGGCCAGAACTGGCATCGTTCATGCCAACCCTCAGCCTAGACAGGATATTAACTGTCCTGCTTTTGGGCTTCAGCTGGTCTCTGTTAGAGAGCGGGGCCAGAGCGTCCCCATCTGCTCCTGGGGTTCGGGCACTGCCCTCTGAAGCAGCTGGCGTTGGCTACCGAGGGAGATGGGACTCTGAGTAGATGGGCCTTGGCTCTGAGCCTGCCTGGTGGGGCCTGGGCTGCTGAATAACCCCATACTGCTGGCATGTACCCGCCCTGCCCAGCACCCAAGGGGGCTGCCTTTCCTCCTGTGCTTGTCTTGCCAAGAGAGCTGGGCTGGGCTCCCTCAGGGCGCGAGTGTGCAGGGGCTTGGGCTATCAGGGACTCCTGACCCCCCTGGGGTGGGGGTGGGGGGAACATGCTGGGCTCTGCTGAGCGCCTCTGCCATGCCTCTGTCCCCCCAGTTCCCGTGGCCGACATCAAGGAGCTGCTGGTTGGCAGGGAGTGCCCGCACATGAAGGAGAAGGGCTCCGGGAAGCACAACAAGGTCAGCAGCTGCTCCCTGCCTGGCCACTCACCCCCCCAGCAAGGAGGAGCTGAGAGCGAACGCTGAGCCGGGTGCTCCCCCGCAGCCCTGCGAGCTCACCAGCTCCTTGCCCTGGGTTTTCCCTGCCTGGAGATTGGGGGTTGCTGACACCACGTGTAGGCCTGGCAACTCTCCAGGGGCTTGTCTACACGGGCGTTACTGGGCAGCCAAATAGCACCCCAGCTTGCTCCCGGTGTGGCAGCCCAGCCCGGTGACCTGTCACCGCAGGGTACAGCCCTGTCCGCTGCCTTGCCTGGGCCCCGTGCTCTGCACAGCCCTTCCTGTCCTCGCTGCAGCCGCACCCAGGACCGGCTGCCGAGAGATTGAGATGTGCCTGTCGTTTCCCCACAGGATGTCCTGGACCTGGCCTTCTCCATTAGCTACGACGTGGAGGAGTACTATCTGAACTTCATCGCCCCCACTCGCTACGAGGTGAGCCTCTGCCTGGGGCCCATTGGGCCGGGTTCTAGCTCGGACTCTGCCATTGGCTTGGTGGGTGACCTTGGCGGAGTCTGTGCCCCTTTGTCTGTTTCCCCATCGGTGAAAGAGGGAGGCGGCTCCCCCTTGGCAAACCCTTCAGGCTCTGGGAGTGGAGTGTGCGTGGCAGGGCTGGTGGGGTCTGTGCGGACGGACAGCAGAAAGCAAGGTGGGCACGTGGCCCAGAGCTTGTTCCCCGGACACGGTGTTCCAAGCTGTAACTCTCCGGGTGACCCAGCAGTGCCCACGCCGCTCTGGGCAGGCCCGCCGCTCTGGGCAGGCCCACCCCACTGCCAGTTGTTGGCCGGGGCTGCGGGCAGTCGTGCCTTTGTACTTCGCTGTGGCTGTGCCTTGGGGAAGGCAGGTTCTGCAGTTCACTGCCCAGGCGTCCTCAGAGGCGCTCAGACCAGCCTGGATGAATGGGAAGTTACCATTTCCCTCAGCCCGGGACAGAGGTGAGGGCCCTTGGGGATGGGCTTGAACAGACATCCAAGGGCGAGGGGTGTTGTAGGATCGATTGGGGGGATGCGCATGGCTTAGATCAGATTGGGATGGCACAGGGCCTGGCCCTGGATCGGGAAGGGATGGAGGAAGAGGGGTGGTGATGGATGCCAGGGGAGCGTGGTGGATGGACGTGGAGCTAGGAGACGGCGTATGAGATGCCAGATGCCTCTGAACGGGGGGAGGGTGCCTGGTGGACTGGGTGGAGAGACAGGAATGCAGCGAGGGGGGCGCATTGGGGGACAGGCGTGGGAGGGAACAAGGCGTTAGCACTGTCCCTGCCTGGAGAAGACACTACACCCAGCTGGCTGAGGTTGAACCAGTGTGACTTTGCTCCTAGCCAAGGGCCGGGGCGTCAGACTCCACCCAGACACTGGGGGCCGGGGACTGAGCTGTGCTGCACAAAGCCAGCTGCTTCCCCCAGACCTGTCGGAGGAGCGTGGGCGAGGGGCACCCCTGTGGTGTTGGGTGGAGTGGGGTGGGCGGGAGGCAGCGTGGCCCAGCCGGCGGGAGCGACTACCCCAAGGCTGAGGCCAGCTTTCGGTTGCCCCTCAGTTCTGCCTGTGGACGGACGGCCTGAACGTGCTGCTGGGCCGGGAGATGACGAGCGAGCGAACCCAGAGCGAGCTCGACATCCTGCTCTCCATGGAGCTCAAGCTGCGCCTCCTGGACCTGGAGAACATTTCCATCCCCGACGCCCCTCCCCCCTCCCCAAGCCCCCCAGCAACTTAAACTTCTGCTATGACTTCAGCCCCAATGAACAGTGAGGGCCTTCCCCCCCCCCGCCATGGCGCTCTCGCTCCCCCGAGCCAGCCCCAGCTCCCAGCCAAGTCTGGTCCAGAGGCTGTGCTGGAAGGTGGAGGAAGGGAAAACCTGGCTCTCCGCTGTGGCCCCTCCTGCTGGGCAGAGAGCGAGTGGGGGAAGGGCTGGTGGGTGAGGGCCATGATCTCCTTTCCCCCCTCGTCCTGGTTCTGCCCCGGGGGAGCCGCTGAGCCCTGGCTCCACTCCCCCCTTCCCCCTAGGGCAGCCTCCCACCCCTGCCACTTGCTGCCCTGACCGAGCAGGGCTCACCCAAGTGCCTCATTGCCCCACACTGCACTGGTGCTGCTGCTGTTACTGCGCCATGGGGGGTGGCGTGGGGTGCCCTGCTCCCCACGGCAGGCTGCTCCTGGGGGGTTGACAGAGCCTTTGACAACCCGCCGGGCCCCTCAGAGCTGGCACCATCCTCCCCCAGGAGTCCTCACCTGCTGTGCTGGTACGATACGGGGCACCTGGGCACACCCCAGGGAAAGATGCCGAGGTGGCACCCGAGAAGGTACGATTCTGTGCTGCCCCGCGCTCGCCCTGCCGCTCTCTGGGCACGGGACACACGGTGATAAGTGACAGCCTGGGGGGGGGGCTGGTACCTCTCCCTGGCCCGGTACCCGCTGAGGATCTCTCTGCTGCTGGCTCCTTAGCCGAACGCCTGGCAAGGGTGGGCTCAGCCCCGCAGGAGGAAGCTAAACTGTCACACTGCAGGGCAGGGCCCAGCTGTCGCCCTGAGCTTTGACGTGGTGCCAGCAGCCCCCGTTATTCTTTATGGACAAGAGGGCGTTCTGGGGAGAATCTGCCTTCCAGCAGCTAAGGTGTTAAAGCTGCTGGGGCCAAATGGCTGAGTGACTCCGAGCACAAGGAGAAAGGGAGTCACTTCCAGTCCCCTCTGCCAGCCTCCCTGAGTGGGGCCTGCTGGTGCCTGGCTGGGGGGAGCTGAGGCTGGGCATGGGCGGGCGCCTGCTGCAGGCTCCACTGTCACTCGGGGCTGAAGTCTGCACCCCGGGAATCCTGGCCAGGCTGCCAACTCCCCACCGGGCCTGTGGCTCGAGCCGAGCCATCCCTGGTCACAGCCCAGCACTGACTGCCTCGCCCCTCCTACCGTCTACCCTGCCCCCCTTCGCCAAAATGCTGCACTTACTAACCGGCCAGCCCGTTCCCCTGGCCCCTCACCCTGCTCTGTACCACTCCAGCCTGGTGCTTCTACTGAGAGAGGTACCCCGTGGCACCAGGCCCTTCCTCCCACCTCTATATGGGACTCTAATAATACTAAGGGACTAACCTGCCTGATTGTCTCACACTGGATCTGCACTGTCCCCTGCCCTGGGGCTGGAGAGCGCTGAGAACAGAGCCCTTCCACCCCCCAGCGTTTGGACAATAAACACTTGTACGGAGAAACCCGCGGTCTGTTTTCTTACGAGGGGAGTTTGGGGTTTCCAGCTCGATTCCTCCGGCCACCCTGGGCTGGACCCTGCTTATCTGCAGAAGCTGCAAGGCAGTGACTGCAGTCCCCGTGGACTGTGCTGTTTCATAGAATCTCAGGGTTGGAAGGGCCCTCAGGAGGTCATCTAGTCCCACCCCCTGCTCAAAGCAGGACCAACCCCAAATGGCCTCCTCAAGGATTGAACTCACAACTATGAGTTTAGGAGGCCAAAGCTCAAATCACTGAGCTATCCCTCCCTGGCAGAGGGGGGGCTGGGGCCCCAGGCCCTCCTGCTTTTCACAATAGCACAGGTCAGTGGGGCTGTTTAAATTAGAGGCTTTTATTAGAGCACTGGCCTCATCGCCGGGTAAAGGCACCAGGCGTCACTTTGGAGGAGTCAAGCGGGGCGGGGTCCCAGGAGGGTCGTGGTGGGTGGTGAGGAACGCGTGAAACGGAGACCAGTGTGCTCTGGAAGCAGCTGATGTGGCCTTGCCTGCTGGTGCGGTGGGGGCAGGCACAGGCTGGCAGCACAGAGCTTTGTCCTGGCACAGGAGAGTGGGTGCTGAGCCATCCCCATCCCCCACCGCTGGAGGGGGAGAGTGGGCAGTGAGCCATCCCCCCACAGCTGGAGGGGGAGAGTGGGTGCTGAGCCATCCCCATCCCCCACCGCTGGAGGGGGAGAGCGGGCAGTGAGCCATTCCCCCCCACACCACTGGAGGGTGGAGAGCAGGCAGTGAGCCATCCCCATCCCCCCACCGCTGGAGGGGGAGAGTGGGCAGTAAGACACTCCCCACCACCACTGGAGGGGGAGAGCGGGCAGTGAGCCATCTCCCATGCCACTCTGCCTCCCAGAGAGCAGGGGGTGGGCTTAGGCAGCGAAGTTCCCCCCTGCTTTGCAGCACTAGGCTTAGGCCCGAGCTGCAGTCTGTGCTGGGGAGACGGGCCAGGGGCCTTGGAGTCGTCGCTGGCCTCGGCCTCGAGCGCTGCCGACTGCATGGAACAGCAGCTCTCACTGCCCAATACTGCTGAGGAAGGAAGCACCCAACCCCTTCAAGGGGCTTTATCACCCTCTCCCCCTGGGTGAACGCAGCTCTGGGCAGGCGCCCTGGCTTTTGGCTTTTCCCACTGTCTCAGCCCTGCGTGAGCAGCCGGGGACCCCTGGAACTCACTCTGGAGGTGCCAGGCTCCAAACAGCTCTGCATACCAGCATCTCCCAAAGGCACCCTGGGGGTGTGCCAGGGCGGGAGTTCAGGGCCTGGCCTGGGTCTTCGCACACCCGGCCGGACCTTGGCAGCGGCCCAGCTGCACGTAGTGTTAGACTCTAGAACTCTCTGGCCAAGGGGTGTCACCACTCGCCCCCCAGCCCAGGCCAAGACGCCGTGGAGCGCGTGTCCCAGCTGGGAGCGGGACGCGGGGAGCAGCAGCGCACCCATGGGGAAGGGCCTGAGCTGTAGCATCAGCCATTCTCCGAGCTGCTCCAGACTGGAGGGATCTGAGCCTCCCGCTTGGCCCCGCTCACAGGGTGAAGGAAAGGTCTGCTCCACCCACAAAGCGCGACTGGACACACGTCTGCAGGGGCAGCTGGGCCTGGAAAAGCTCAATGTCGGCCATGCTGATCCCATGGCACATGGAGACATCCAGGCTCTTCAGCTGTCTGCACTCCCTGCTGAGGGCCATCAGTGTCCTGCAAAGGAGACAAGTCAGGGCTCTCTTCCCCCTTCCTCCCGGCCTGCGACAGGCCGGGCGACTCCCCCGTTGAAGGCCAGCAGTAGAGGAAGGCCTTGCGATACTTACTGGCGTGTGAGCTGGCTGCAGCCAGAGATGACTAAGTGCTGGAGTCTCCGTAGCGAGCTAGCGGCCTCCAGGAAGCCTTTATCAGTCAGCTTTCCGCAGTGACTCATGGACAGTTGCTCCAGGCTCTGGCAGCCCCTGGCCACCGCTACCAGGCTGGCGTCGGTGATCTCCGGTAGCAAGCCGAGGGACAGCCGCCTCAGGGCAGGGAAGCGGATAACCTAGATGGACAGACGGATGAGAGCCCATCGGGCAGAGCTGGCCTGAACCTTTCCAGAGTATTACAGCCATTGTGCTGGCACTCAGGTGGGCACATCTTCGCTCCCGGCCTGGGCAAGGCTTGCCCAGAAAACTTCAGAGCATAAAGTATTAGGAAGGAGAGAAAAGGCGTCCTCAGCCCGGCTCCCCCCCAGAGCCGTGGCACCGGGAGTTCTGAGGAATGAGGTCTTACCCCCGATCTCACCCTGGGTCAGTACCGCTGCTGGCACTGCGCCGGAGGGGGTTGCTTTCTGCTGGCAGGGCAGCTTCTAACCCAGCCAGCCTGGCGTCTGCACACTGCCCACCCAGCCGCACGGCAGCTCCCCAGCCAGATCGGAGCCGGATTCCTCCGCCTCAGCGCCCTGCGTCACGTGGGCACCTGGTGGGCAGTGCTGAGGGAGCCGTTAGCACCCGGCACCGTTTCCCCTGGTACGTGCCCAGGAACACGCAGCCCAGGAGGATTTCACTGGACAGCCGCTGGGCTGGGCTGACCCCAATCCACGGCCGGGCTCTCCATACCTGGGTGATGCTGCTGTCAGTCAGCTTGCTGCAGGCCATGAGGTCGAGCTCTTGCAGCTGTTTTAGCGCCTGCAGGGAGGCCCGGTGCCGCTTCTGGGACTCGTTCCAGGCGGAGTCGCTGAGGACCGTGGGATCCTGCTCCAGGTTCTGCAGGGGTGGCAGGAAGAATCCCATGTTACCGAAATTCCTGCTGAACTGTGGCCCTGCGTCCTTCTGCCAAGAAAAGGGACATGTTGCTGAGCCCGGGGGGCTCTCGGCCTCCCATCCTCTGAGCTGTGGCAGGGACTGGGCCTGGGGTCCCAGAGAGAAGGAACAGCCCCACAGACGTTCCCGTTCCATGCTGGCCCCCTGCAGGAAACCAAGGTGCCGAGCTGGGACTGCGCTGCCACCACCTCCATGCATCCTCCTGCCTGGGCACAGGCTGGCCCTTGGCAGCACTCAGAGAGCCCCTGCTGCCTCGGCTTTCGCTCCACGGGCACCAGCCAGGCTCCGGAGCGGGCTCTCACCTCTCTGCGATGGTGACGCTCCTCTCTGGGCTCCTCTACGTCCAGGAGGCCCCAGTCCGTCAGCTCCTTGCACCAGGCCAGTCGGAGGACAGTCAGCCGGGGGAGGTGGGAGGAAATCGCTTGGATGCTCACGTTGGTGATGGAGACGCAGGAGGAGAGGTCTAATACCCGCAGACTGGGGCTGAGGGACCTGGCCAGCGAGAGGACAGAGCTGTCCTGGGGAGGAGAAGGGAATGAGTGAGAGGCCAAAGAGCTGCACTGAGCAATGCCAAACGTGCCCTGTTGGCCAAGGCTCTGTGCAGGAGAGAGCCCCGGTGGGGCAGAGCCTGGCGGCCCAGCTGCAGGTGAAGGGGTATGGGACTGAAAGGCAGGGCCCTGCCCCTTCTGCCAATAGCAGGAATTGGGGCACTTACTCTGAGCAGAGAGCAGAAGGCGAAGCTGAGGGAGGCCAGGCTAGGCCGCAGCTCCGGGGTGGAGCACACTTTCACCAGCTCACTGCCGCTCACCAGGCTACACTCAGACAGGTCCAGCCTCTGCAGGCTCCGGAGCTCAGCAATGCCCAGGAAACCCCCGTCCGTCAGGCGCTGGAGCTTCCCCAGGCCCAGGCTCTGCAGGGCTCGCAGCCCCGCGGACACAGTGAGGGCGGCCCGGTCGGACAGCTCCGAGCACCCGGTGAGGTCCAGCACGGTCAGGTGGGGCTGGTGCGTACAGAGGAGGCCGATGGCCTCGTTGGAGAGGTCCCTGCAGTTCTGCAGCACGAGTTCCCGCAGGCGCAGCCCCTCCACTTGCACCAGGGACCTCATTGCCGGTGAGGTGATGCTGGTGCCGCTCAAGTCCAAGGCCCTGAGGCTGCTGGCCCGCTCCTTCAGGAAGCGCAGGAGGTTGCGGAAGGACAGCAGGGCAGAGGAGTTGTAGTTGCTGGACCCGCGGTAGGGGTCAAACTCAAAGGTGAGGTGGCAGCGAGCCAGCGAGAGTCGGGCCAGGTGTGGCGCACAGCCTGTCAGCCGGTTGAAACTGAGATCCGACAGGTAGCGCAGGCCGGCCAGGTTCAGCTCCTGGAGGTTGGTCAGCGCTCCTCGGGCTTGGCTGATGGTCTCTGGCTTGGAGAGCAGCGTCCCGGACATGAAGAGGCTGTTGCAGCCAGTCAGATCCAGCGCGGAGAGGCAGGGGCAGGCAAGGAGGAGGTGCACGAAGGCCGTCTCGGGCAGGCTGCTCCCACGCAGACACAAGCTCTGCAGATGTGGCCCCAGGTGACAGGAGACCGCCTGGATCACGTCCCGGGAGACAGTGGAGCTGTCGAGGCTGGTCAGGCTGACGCAGCTCACGCGCCGTCTGGCCAGGCTCTCAATGGCAGCCAGGGAGGTGGAGGTGGCTGGGATGTTGTACAGGATGTTCTCCTGGATCCGACAGGGGAGAGGCGGTTGCCACAAACGGGGGAATGCAGAGCAAAGGCGCTCCCCCATCCAGGCCTCTAGCAATGCCCCCGGGAGGGGAGGCAGGACGCCAGGGAGATGCTTGCGGGAAGCACTGGAGACACAGGCTAGCACAGGCCTTGAGGCTCCAAACCCTGGGTCTGGGGGCAACAATGGAGGTGCCCTAGGCTCCAGAGACACAGCCAGGGAACAGCTGTCTTCCCCTCCACCCCTTCGTTGGGAGCAGACTGAGCATGTGCAGAATGAGGCGGTGAATACAGATCCCAGGGAGCGACCATAGGAGTGCAAGTCTGTGCACTGCCCGAGAGCTGGGGGGGGGGGGGGGGAAGGGGAACTGCAGAGTGAGCCTGGGGGGGACTGAGTGCTGCAGTGAGCTGAGGGGGTGGGGGGCGGGGGACTGCATTCAGGTATGTGCTTGGCCTGGCTCTGTAACTCTCCTGTGCTGTCTAGGAGTAAAGAGGGGGTGTTAAGAAGTTCCTTGCAAAGCCACTGCCCTTGTTTTAACAGCCACCTGGTGCCCAGGGATTGAACTGCCACCCAGAGAGCCTACAGGTGGGGGAATGTGCAGAGTGGCTGCAGAGGCTTGGGAACAATCAATACTAGCTTTGGGGCCTGGGGCAGTTGGCGGTGGGAGTCCTTCGTCCCAGGAAGGGGGCCACATGACAGGTCTTCCCCGAGGATGGTGCCCTACAAGTCCTGCCGCTTGAAGCAGGGACTGGACTCGGCCCAGAGCCGGCTGCCTGGGCACATGTGGGATCCAAAGGTGGGGGCCGATTAACACAGGGGACTCAGCAGGACTGGGCCAGTGGGCACGCCGGCCACATGGATGAGGGGTGGGCTTTACCTGCCGCAGGGAGTCCTGGGCCGCAAAGTACCAGGTGTGATTCACCAGAGAGGCCTCCTTCCTGTCGGCAATGGGCAAGAAGCTGAGGATGTAGGTGATGACCTGGGAAGAGAATGGGAGACGCATGGGGAAGGGCCCCAGAGCAGGACTTGCGCAGCACAGAGGAATTAGGGCATTTGCTGGGGAAGCCGTGATTGGAGAAGAACAGCAGTGCCTGACTTGCTCCCGTTTCTGAGACGCTGCTGTACAGTCTTCTTTAAAATAAGAACACAGCGTAACTGACGCCGTGATGTCTGCCTGTGTGTGCAGCCAGCCTGAAGCAATAGCTCAGAGGTGCGAACTACCTTCTTTGTGCGGATGGTGTGAGCTCTGAAATGCTAATCTAACGTCAGCATGGTGAACTGTCTCACTCCAGACAATTTCAGCGGAAACTTCCAGCTCACGTTTGTATTGCACAATCCCAAAGTGCCTCTCCCTCCTTCCCAGGAGGCAAAAGCCCCAGGTGTTCCCGACTCTGGTGCCAGCTTCCCCCAGACAACTTCCACAATGTCATGCTATATGGTCAACACAAAACTCTGAGTATGCTGTCAACTTAGAGACAGCGCAAAATCAAATGATCCAATTCAACAACCCAGAGACGCTGCACTGGTTCCATGAGTCATTGTCCTGTTTAATGAATCAATAGACCACCTTCCTGTTTTAATTTCTCTGAAGCTTCGGCCCAATTCCCAAGCTGCTGCATGGGAGGGCGGAAGAATTCAGATCAAGTTTGCCATGCACATGGCCCTGAGGAGAAGTGCGGATTACCTCACCCCACCCTGAAGTGTGACCACTTCTGTGGTGGGACACAGCAGCTGGGCATGCACAGAGACGCTCCCCAAGCATTTAGGGCAGGAAGTGAGGAATGCTTTATCCTAGTATGCTTGCAGGCACAGTTCCCAACCTCCTTTGCACCCTGTAATATTTCATGTCCACTTTGGCCAGGTGCTGTCTCAAGGGTGAGCACTAACTGACAGGACTGGAGGAATACTCCGCACATTTGTAGTGGGAGCAAGGCCAGCTGGGATTAGGATTTTGTTTGGCTCCAGCAGAGAAGTTGTAGTTACTGAGTCTGAAACATCCGTGTTGTTTTCATTCCTTGATCAGAACCTCGTGACTCCACAATAAAGGACGGAGAGGCCCAAGAGTGGTCAGAAAAGCCTAAGTAAAAACAGCGTGGCCTGCTTACAGGACGAACAAACCTACGTGGCCTGGGATGGATTTGGAGCTCTCTGTTTTCATGGATCCACTCCAGCTTTTAAACAGCTCCTTGAAGGACCCCTTCACTGTGCCAGACCCGCAAAGGGGCTCACTGTTCCTCTAGGGTAGGCCCGGCCGCCTCAACGCTTCCAAGACTGAAGCTTTGGGTTCCAGCACTCCTGTGTCACACCATGAACTCCGCCCAGCGCGTCCAACTGAGACAGACTCCTGGTCAGAGACCGCTACACTCTTCTGGGACCAGCACACCTCAGCCACTGTTTGCAGTGACACCAGGCAGAGGCGGGTTTGTTAGTCACCCAGAAGACAGCATCGGGAAGTCCTTAGGTTAGTACAGTCAAGCAAAGGTTAAGACATGGTCCATCCTGGCCAAGCCAGTGTTCACCCAGCCATGCTGCCTGGAATCCTTTTCTGGCCCTCTCCCTCTGTCACCTTTGTCAGTCCAAGGTGAGAGCCGCTGAGTCTCTCCAAAAGCCAGCTCTGATCCCCCTCCTGCCAACCCATGCTGAGGTGAGGTCACATGTTCCACCTGCCAGAGATGCCACCTCGGGCCTCCCATTGTCATTCTAGATCCTCCACTGATATGGGTCAGCTTCAGCCAGTCCTTTAACGCCCCATTCATCCCACCCCGGACAGTTCTGTGACACACACACCTCACGCTCTTGCTCTGCCCTAGGTGTAGAGTTAACCCTTTTGCACCACGGGGTGGCAATCCCGCGCTCAGTAAGTTACTGCCATGCATATCCTTCATACAGATATTACAGACCAGTCCCACTTTGCCACACCTGTGAAACTTCCTGAGCACTGCAGCAGGCCAGGCCGCTGTGGGGTTTACCCAGGCATCTGCTGAGCTAGTTCAATAGCAGCATTGTCAGAAATGCCCTAGGAAGAGGGGGGAGGCAAGAGCCCCTCACGTGGCTGTTCCAGCCTGACCGCCGGCAGAGCTCACCAAACTGCCAAACCCAGGAAACTGCCAAGCAAGGCCTTTGGCTGGCTCTAAGGACAGGGGGCATGCTGGGGGGAAATGTTATGGGGAACAGTCTGTCCCCCCACAGGTAAAGACTCTAGACATGTAGACTTTTGTTGTTGTAAAATCCCTTTTTCTCTTATGCTCTGCTTGGATCTTGAGGTCACACGAACACTGCTTTGGTCTGAGAGAAGGCTGTCTGGTCACTAGCTCCCCAAGGGAAGAACCCCATCACACCGGCAGGGTGAGCATGGTCAGTCCACAGGGGCCTGCCGCCCAGGGCCTGGTCTACGAGTGACAGTATCATCACCAAGTCCCACAGGGGATCAAAGGCATTGAGGGAAGCTGACGGAGGGCAGGTAATAAAGGCAGATAAGCAGTCTGGAGAATTCTAGTGAAGCAGTTCTGCCTAACAAGTCTATTGCTTGTTACTGTTAGGTACTTTGGACTCTGGATCATAGCAGAGCTGTACGTTAGCTCCTCTTATCAGCAAAGGGTGTTTCCACAGCAGCACTAGACGCACTGTACAGAAGACGGCTGAATACTTTATGTGCTTTTCAAACTTACACCAACCTCTTGATGCAAAGGTTTCTCACATAGAGCCACGTCCTGCAGCCGGCGGAGCACTCTCAGCTCCCACTGAAGTCCAAGTTATCCCAGTGAAATCAAAAGGAAACTGAGGGTGCTCAACACCCAATCGAAGGCATGCAGCACCTTGCAGGATTGGCTCTTTACTGTGACAAGGAACATTTGCTCTCCCTTGGATGATTGAAATATACCTAGTGTTACACACAAAAGTGCTTCCATTGACTGTTGGGTGGCTAAGGAACCAGACAGACAGACCTGGCATTCTCAGGGCTAAGCACCAGGATCAATCACCCGATGCCAGGGCAGGTGAAAGTGCTGGCACAAAGCTGAGCACCCCAGTGGGGAGAGGGGTGTTGTCAGGAGCAGAGTGCCAGCTCCGTTTCACAGCTCCCTTCGTTGGTAGAACTCCTACAGTCCCCCCTCATGTCCAGAACCAACAAACATAAGAATGGCCAGGCTGGGTCAGACCAACGGTAAGTTTGGACCACAGAGGAGGATGTCTCAGGACTTCTCCTTAGTTCAAAGATCTGCACCTCTCGAGGTACCGTGGCTAAAGATTCCTTGGCTCAGCCTGTGTTCCCTGCTTTCCCGTCACATTGTCCCCGAAGGGGTTAAACTAGAAGCCAGAGTACCCACAGCTACGGTGGGGCTCGGGGGCTGCGTGCGTATAGAGTTTTATGTTTCTTAATATAAACGAGGCTCTTTACAAGAGAAAAAGCCAAGGAGAGAGGTGCTGGCTGATTTGGAGTTTTGGTAATGGGAATCCTGGGGGGCTCAGGAGGTCTCAGGGATGGGGGGGGGCAGCATCCCACATCCCAACAAGGGCCTCAGCCAGGAGGTCTGAGCCCAGGAGGGTAAGCTGTCTGAGCTAGAAGCAGAGCCAGCCGGCTGGGAAGCATGTGGGACCCTGCTCGCAAGAGACCTAGTGATCATAGAGAAGGGCCCTGTGCCAGGTTATAACATTGTCTTCTCCAAGTGAACAACTTACTGGGGATTATAGCAGTTGGCTGTGAACATCAGCATCCCTTCAAGCACTGCACTTGGAGTGTTTTTATTGCAGGCTGTGGCCACAGAGGCATACACATCCATCCTATAACGTGTGGTAAAGGTGTGATGAGCCCTAAAGAACCACTGCCCTCTCTGAAACCATGAGGGAGCAGCATCTCTGGTGGAGTGAGTCCCTGTCCCTGGAGAGCAGGGCCGACACTGGTCACACAGACACCAGCAATAACATTCTAGTAGCCCATTTAGATGACGCAGGCTGGGCCCTGCTACCAACCTAGAGCCCAAGGAAACACAGGAGTGTTGTCCTCATCTGAATCCCAGTTCTAGTCATACGAACTCTTGTGACCCTCCAGACACTGACGGGTCTTGGAAGTGCCACAGGGGTCCCCCATCCAGCCCACTGCCGTCCAGCCTGAGCCATCAGAAGGTGTTACCTCCACTGGGAGCCTTCGCGTCTCCATGCCGGTCCAGGAGACAGCAGCTGCATCTGCCCCTTCTTGGGACCCCCAGCACGGATTGCTCCTGCTCAGGCCCAGCTGCTCCCCTTGGTTCGTCCAGGCGAGTGCCTCAGTCTCTGGAGTCCAGACAGAGAGTGATCAACACCTGGCCCTCCCCAATGCCCCCATCCTGTCTATCCGTCTGCCTGTCCTACTGCCTGCACCCCTGTCTGTCTGTCTGTCCTAGTGCCCCCACCCGTCTGCCTGTCTGTCCTAGTGCCCCCACCCCTGTCTGCCTGTCCTACCGCCCCCACCCCTGCCTGTCTGTCCTAGTGCCCCACCCCGTCTGCCTGTCCTACCGCCCCACCCCTGTCTGCCTGTCCTACCGCCCCTACCCCTGTCTGTCTGCCTGTCCTACCGCCCCCACCCCTGTCTGTCTGCCTGTCCTACCGCCCCCACCCCTGTCTGCCTGTCTGTCCTAGTGCCCCCACCCCTGTCTGCCTGTCCTAGTGCCCCCACCCCTGTCTGTCTGTCCGTCACTCACGCCTCTCCCCTAGCCCTACCACCCCATCCCTGTGTCCGTCAGTCCCACTCACTGCCGGTCTCTGCGCCCGCACTTCCGGGTTCACCATGGCAACGCCGCAAAGGCTGCTGGGAATTGTAGTCCGGTGCGGGGTCAGCACCCCGCCTCTTTCTCAGAGCGCTCTCTCGTCCCTTCCGTTTCCGGTGACGCGGACCCGGCGCCGGAAGCTGCGCTAGTGCTGAGTTGGTGTCGCTGCTGCCGGGGAGCTGGAGCCGCAATGGCGGTGAGGGGCTGCGGGGCGCCTGGGGACTCCCGCAAAGCGCCGGGGGCGGCCTGAGCCCCCCCGTCCGCCCCCCCGGGCTCGGCCAGTGCCCGCCCCCCGTCCGGCCTCCCCCCCATGGCCTGGCCTGAGCCC